GACCTAACCCTAACCCTAAACCTAACCCTTAACCTAACCCTAGACCTAACCCTAACCCTAAACCTAACCCTTAACCTAACGCTAAACCTAATGCTAACCCTAAACCTAAACCTAACGCTTAACGTAACCCTAAACCTAACCCTAACCCTTAACCTAACCCTAACCCTAATGCTTAATGTAACCCTAAACCTAACCCTAACGCTTAACATAACCCTAACCCTAACCCTTACCTTTACGTGAATCGGCTTGCTTTAAAAGCGCTTTTTAAAGCGCCCTTTTTTCTCCGCGGTCATTGTTGTCGCGCTGCTGATGACATCAGCGACGCGCTTTAATCGGGCGTGCTTTAGTGGACCGCGGTTTTGTCGTGCCACGGCCAAGTACAGCCATGGGATGAATTAGGAGTACATATGTTTCTGTTCCAGGGGAAGTTAATAAGGAAGATAATCCACAGCTAGGAAATCTCTGGTCTTTATTTTAACAGTGACTTCCTGCTTCTACTACTGAACAGGTAACGTGTGGAAGCACATGCCACCATGTCGACAATAGATAATCCCATTTTGGAAAAGGTCACAGGATCGATGATTTCCAGAGAAAGACGTACGATCATTAAACCATGATTGTTAAAAACAGAAGCAAATCAGGATTTGAAGAGGGGAGGGCAGAGTTCAATTAGCCAGCGGAAAAACAGTAAAGATCAGAAGATAGGTAGAATGTGCAACATTTGTGAATCTCTTACCTTGTGCGCTGGCTTCTTTCGTGACTGCAGAATAGAAACAGGGGAAGGGGGGAGGAGCATGAAAAAGAAGAAGAAAAAAGCAATATTAGAAGGACATAAAGACACCTGGCAATGTATTAATTACAACTCTTGTTTATGAAAAGTGGTTTCTAAGACAATCCTTTTCCTATTCGCATATTCCATATTTTTCGGACTATAAGACGCACAGGTGTATAAGACGCACCAAGATTTCGATGAGGTAAGTAAGAAGAAAAGTTTTTGTCCTTCCCGACCCCACCCACCCCCGGGAGCCCTTTGCAGGCTTCAGCAGGGCTGGGGGCGGGGAGGCAAAAACGTCCCCGTTTTGGTGAAAAATGACTTGTTTTTCACAAAAATGGGATGCAGAGGTGGGGCTTCGGGAGGCCAAAAATAGCTGTATTCGGTTTTTAAGACGCACCAACATTTCCATGCTCTTTCGGGGGGGGGAAGAGTGCATCTTATACTCTGAAAAATACGATAGGTAGTCTTCAGCTTACAGTTGCTTAGCAAATTCAGAATTATGGCAGAGCTACCTGAGGGTATTTTATGATCCAGATGCAGCGCTCCAGGCCCACCCCCATTCCATGGTCACTTCAGATCAGTTAGGGTCCCACAGTCACCTGTGTTTCATGACCGTTTTGTGTGAAAGCGGCATTTACTTCTGGTTTTCAGCAAAGCTAAGGCCTCTAGCAAACCACCGCTTCATTTAACAACCGTAGCCTGCACTTAATGACCATCACAAAAAGTCGTAAAGTTGGATTTGTCATGTGGGCCACCTAATGGAGTAACATCACAATTTATAACCATGATGGGCAGGCTGCATTATGGTCATCATAACCTACGACCATAATTGAGCCCAAAATTTATGCTGCTAAGCAAGAGGATTCTGTATTGACCTAGACTTCCCCAGCAGCATGAAGCCGAGTCTCTTTTATAAACCCCTTTTATTTAATTTACAGTGAATTCCTCTCCAGCAAAGTCTTTCCTCTCCCACAGTCTTTCAAGAGAGTTCCCAATTACCGACCTTTATCAGGCTNTGCGTGGGCGGGTTATTTGCGTGGGCGGGTTATATGGGTGAAAATACGGTAATAAATATCACCATCCTTGCATCCTTTAAATCAGATTTTTTTTTTAAAGCATGCAATTTTTTCAGGTACAACTGAAGCCACAAATGCCACATTTATCCAACTAGCTGATTGAGAAATTATGGGATTTATAATGCCACCACCATCCGAGGCCTCTAAGGGTTTGGGGCAAAGAATAGGGATGGCAGCCCTAGATGAAATCTCTAGATGAGAAATCTTTTGTCCTTACTAGCTTCATGGACATTCCCCCAGCCGGTGACGGTGCACGTCATGCCTTGAGGGAAGTTGACCGAAGAGGCAGGCAGGCAGATCGGCCTTACGGTCCGAGAATACGGAACTGGTTCTTTAAGCTTCACCAGCGCAATGTCGCCTTGAGAGCCTTCGTCTTCATTGAAATCGGGATGTTTAATCACTTCTTCTATCAACCTCACTTGGATGTCTGGAGGGGGGTTGTTCAGCTGGTACGACCCCAGGGTCACCTCATACAATGAGATATCATTCACCCTGCGGAGAGAAAAGGCGTTTGCGTCATTTCTGAAATTCTAAGTCTCTAAGATCATCCCAAATGCATCCAGACCCTATTCTTCTCTTCCCAGCTAGGGCCAAACAGATTCCCAAGTACCCAAGCACAGCAAGAGGGCAATAATAATCCACCTGAGTTCCCCACCCCAATGTTTAAATATATCCTACTTCTTAACCAAGGGCAAGGCTGCAAAATTTTTAGCAAGGGGTTCTCTGCCTGGTTGCTGGGTGGGCGTGGCCATGGCGGGCATGGCCTGGTCATCCTCCTGCACATTGGCAGGAGGGCGTTTTTCACCCTCCCTGAGCCTCCACGCGCACCCTGCACTTACCTGCATCCAAAACAGGCTGTGTGGGGATCCCTGGGAGGGGCGGAGTGGGGTGGGCGGGGCCAGCCAGGAGTGGAATTTCAGGGTTCGAACTGCACAGAATCTTAGCTAGAGTTCTCCTGAACCCCTGCGAATCCCCTGCAGCCCACTTAACCAAAAGCTAACATTAAGCCAGTATGACACATAGCCATAAACCGAACTGTGCAGGTAGTCCTTGACTTAAAACTGTTCATTTAGTGACCGTTCGAACTTACAAGGGCAATGAAAAAAGCGAGTTGTGACCATTTTTCACACTTAACGACCACTGCAGCATCCCCCATTAGCCGCATGATCAGAATTCGGATGTTTGGCAAGTGGTTCATAGCTATGATAGTTGCAGTGTCGTAAATGGTCATGTGGCCCCCTTTTGCGACCTTCTGCCAAAGTCAGTGGGGAAGGCAGATTCATTTAATAACCTTGTGAGCTAATTTAACAACTGCAGGGATTCCCTGAACAATTCCAGCAAGAAAGATTGTGAGGTAAAGGTAAAGGTTCCCCTTGCATACATGTGCTAGTCGTTCCCTACTCTAGGGGGCGGTGCTCATCTCCGTTTCAAAGCCAAAGAGCCAGCGCTGTCCGAAGACGTCTCCGTGGTCATGTGGCCGGCATGACTAAACGCCGAAGGCACATGGAATGCTGTTACCTTCCCAACAAGGGTGGTTCCTATTTTTCTACTTGCATTTTTAATGTGCTTTCTAACTGCTAGGTTGGCAGAAGCTGGGACTAGTAATGGGAGCTCACTCTGTTACTCGGTGCTAGGGATTCGAACCGCTGAACTGCTGATCTTTCTGATCGAAAAGTTCAGCGTCTTAGCCATTGAGCCACATGGTCCCCTTAGAAAGGATCATAAAATGGGGCAAAACTCACTCAACAAATGTCTCATTTAGGAGCAGAAATTTTGGGGCTCTGTTGTGGCCATAACTTGAGGACTAATCTGCACATCCAAAGAGTTTGGAAACTCTCAATGGATTACAGCAGGAGTGGTGATGACCAAGCTGTCACACACTGTAATGAGAGAGTTGAAATCTCCTATTGATTGCAATCTACAAACTCCACAATGCCACATCCGTTTATTATCAAGGTCTGGGATTCCGAATCAAGCAGCCTCAAAACTTTCTCTATAAGGAAGCTAACAGCATCGGGGTCTGTTTCTTAATACCCACATCTTTTTCTTTTAGATTTCTTTTTTTAATCCCAGCTTTATTAGTTTTACAAATAGTTCAAGGTGGTGAACATAAAGGTGGTCCTCGACTTACAACCACAACTGAGCCCCAAATTTATGTTGCTAAGTGAGCCGTGGGTGGAGTGGGTTTTGTCCCAAGTGGCAAAACTTTTCTTCTTATGTGAAATCCCTACAGTTGTTAATTTAGTAACCCGGTTGTTAAGTGAATCTGGCTTTCCCCTCGTTGACTTTGCTTGTCAGAAAGGATGCAAAAAGGGGATCACACGACCCTGGGACACTGCAACTGTCATAAATATGAAGCAGTTTCCAAGCATCTGAATTTTAATCACTGACCATGAGAATGCTGTAACAGTCGTAAGTGTGAAAAATGGTCACAAGTCACTCCTTACAGTGCTGTTCTAACTTTGAATGGTCACTAAATGAACTGTTGTAAGTAGAGGACTACCTGTGCTTTCCTACTACTATCTTGCTCATAACTATGCTTTGAGGTGGGTTAGGCTATGAGAGAATGATTTGCCCAAAGTCACACAGTCGGCTTTCAAGCCTTAGGTGGGACTAGAACTCACACTCCTAGAGATTGGCCCAACCACCCAGCTTCCATGCCTAAGGCGGGACTAGAACTCACAGTCTCCTAGAGAGTGGCCCAAAGTCACCCAGCCAGTTTTCATGCCTAAGGTGGCACTATAACTCACAGTCTCCTATAAATTGGCCCAAAGTCGCCCAACCAGTTTTCATGCCTAAGGTAGGACTAGAACTCAGTCTCCTAGAAATTGGCCCAAAGTCACCCAGCCAGCTTTCATGCCCTAAGGTAGGACTAGAACTCACAGTCTTTTAGAGATTGGCCCCAAGTCACCCAGCCAGCTTTCATGCCCTAAGGCGGCACTATAACTCACAGTCTCCTAGTTTCTAGCCTGATGCCTTCACCACTAGACCAAACTTTGACTTGACTTACTTTGGGAAGCAATGTGCAGCTGAAACCAACCACTGGGGGGCAATGACGGTTGCCCCACAGGCATGATGACGATTGAAGTTCAGGTTGGCCTGCCACGGCCACTGTCCATTTTGAGCATTAGCACCGCCCACGATCCGTCCCAGGGCAGGCACCCCACACAACACTGCAGACAGACGACATTTTCATGAGTGAAACGGGAGGGGGAAAAACCAATTCTAGAATTCACTGTATCGTTTCGTTCATTGCTGGCTGCCAAGTACGGTTCCATCACAAAACCGCGGTCGACTAAAGCGCGCTCGACGAAACCACGTACCTGACGTCATCACAGC